TAGATTGCAAAAATTTTCTCCCATTCTGTAGGTTGCCTGTTTACTCTGATGGTAGTTTCTTTTGCTGTGCAGAAGCTCTTTATTTAATTAGATCCCGTTTCTCAATTTTGGCTTTTATTGCCATTGCTTTTGGTGTTTTAGACAGTGAGCAGTGAATTCCTATGTCCTGAATGGTATTGCCTAGCTTTTCTTCTAGGGTTTTTATGGTTTTAGGTCTAACATTTAAGTCTCTAATTCATCTTGAATTAATTTTTATATAAGGTGTAAGGAAGGGATCCAGTTTCAGCTTTCTACATATGACTAGCCAGTTTTCTCAGCACCATTTATTAAATAGGGAATCCTTTCCCCATTTCTTGTTTTTGTTAGCTTTGTCAAAGATCAGATGGTTGTAGATGTGTGGTATTTTTTCTGAGGCCTCTGTTCTGTTCCATTGGTCTATATCTCTGTTTGGACAGTACCATGCTTTTGTTACTGTAAGCCTTTGTAGGTATAGTTGAAATCAGGTAGTGTGATGCTCAAATTAGTGAAGAAATCATTGGTAGCTTGATGGGTGGCATTTGGAATCTATAATACCTGGCAAGTATTGGCCATTTTCCGGATATGATTCTCCTATCCATTGAGCTGGAATTCTTATATTTATTTGGTTCCTCTTCATTTCATTGGCAGTGGTTTTATAATCTCCTTAAAGGGTCCTTCACATCCCTTGTAGGTATCCCAGGTATTTTATTTTCTTGAAGCAATTGTGAATGGGAGTTCCACTCAAGATTTGACTCTCTGTTTGTCTGTTATTGGGGTAATAGAAAAGCTTGTTGATTTTGGCACATGATTTTGTATCCTGAGGACTTTGCTGAAGTACTTTCAGCTTAAGGAGATTTTTGGCTGAGAGATGGGTTTTCTAAATATACAATCAGGTCATCGGCCCAAACAGAGGACAATTTGACTTCCTCTTTTCCATAGTTACAAACCATTTATTTCTTCTCCGGCCTGATTGCCCTGGACCAGAACTCCCAAACTGTGTGAAACAGGAGTGGTGAGAGAGGGCATCCCTGTCTTGTCCAGTTTCCAAAGGGAAGCTTCTAGTTTGCCCATTCAGTATGGATATTGGCTCGTTGGGTTGGTCTAAATAGCTTTCTTATTATTTTGAGATACATCCCATCCATACCTATTATGAGAGTTTTTAGCAGAAGCGCTTGTTTGCATTTTTGTCGGAGACCTTTTTTCTGCATCTATTTGAGATCCATTGTGTTTTGTCTTCGTCTGTTTATAGATTGGATTGCGGTTTATTTGATTTGTATATGTTGAGCCAGCCTTGGTTCCCAGGATAAGTCAACTTGATCAATGTGGATAAGCTTTTTAAGATGGCTGCTAGATCGGTTGCCTGGTATTTTATTGAGGATTTTTGACCGATGTTGCATCAGGATATTGGTCTAAAATTCTCTTTTTTTGTTGTATCTCTACCAGGCTTTGGTATCAGGATGATGCTGGCCTCATAAAATGAGTTAGGGAGGATTCCCTCTTTTTTTATTGATTGGAATAGTTTCAGAAGGAATGGTACCAGCTCCTCTTTGTACCTTGGCAGCCAGGATATTAAATAGGAAATTTGGCAAACCTCATAGTCCATATTAGTAAGCTAAGAATAGAAAAAAATATATATCTACAGACTAATTTTTATACCGTGCAGTGACTCTCAAATTCTTGGATAGCTGTGCTTCATGTCACCTAGCTGCTAAGAGCTTTGTGATCCTAACAGGTGACGACTCAGACCGACACTGCGTTGTTATGAATTCCACAAGTAGGTGCCTCGATATGCCTAGATTGAAACATCAGCCTTTCCCAGTCTGACCTGATGGGTTGACTTCAGGTGTGGTATAAAACACCTACATTTTAATGTAAACATTTCAGTGTAATCAGTGAGAACTGTCATTCTGCTTTAATCACCATGAGTTCTGAAATAAAGGATTTGTCTGACATTCATTCTAAGAAATTCATTCTTATCTAAGAAACTTTCTTTAACCTGGCACAATAATAAGAAATGACCTGTAAGTACTTGATTGTTCTAAAATGCCTTATGCATGATTAGAGAAAGAATAAATGACATATTTTAGGATTGTGTTTAACAAAAGTGAGATGCTAATTCTTAAAAACTAGGCCTCTCTGTGGGGACTGCATATGATCACATTACCCTTGATCTTGAGTTAAGGAGAATATTCATTGCCAGATGATTCACTGACCTTGCCTATAACTTGAAACCAATAGCAAATCCAGATGTAGTTTCATTGGCCTTTGAAGTCCAGGGCAAAAAGACGAAGCATGACTCCCTATTTCCCCGTTGCATCCTGATTGTCTCCCTATCCAGGGACAGAAGAAATATCCTCAAGACATTGAGTTTTTCACAGCAAAGAAGCTGAGATTGGGGCTTTGGCCTCATCTCCTATAGGTCCATGCTGCATCTCTGATCTCTACAATCAGTGAGAAGGTCTTTCCTGCTCCCCTTCCTCCTGGCACATGACAAAATTCTAGTGCCTTAAGGTCTGCAGGAGGAGAGGGTTTATATAGTGTTTTCCAGTTCAATTATCATATATATAATCATACCCCCCCCACTCACGTCTCCTTTGTTACACTGTGCACATATTAAACATCACCATAAAGTATGTGCATCCTGTTGCCTGCGTCTGAGTTTCCTCACTCAAAGGATGCCTAGGCCTGGAGAAGGAAAAGTGTTCAGGTGCTTCAGGAGAGTAAGACACATTTCTCCTTCTGCTTGAACTCATGAGCACAGAGGCTTACACACCCTTAGTGTCTCAAGAATGTTTTTCACGGCACTTGTAAACCAAATAAATACCTATCAGTTCCAGTACTAAGTAGTTTAGTCTAAATAGCTTAGTAAGTATTTATATCCAACCACTTAGTAACCACTTGAAAAAAATACACATAAATCGAAAGTAGTGCCAGCTGCGGTGGCTCACACCTGTAATCCCAGCACTTTGGGAGGCTGAGGCAGGTGAATCGCTTGAGCTCAGGAGTTCAAGACAAGCCTGGGTACCATGACGACACCCTGTCTCTACAAGAAATACAAAAAAAATGAGCTGGCTTGGTGGTGTGCACCTGTTGTCCCAGCTGACTGGGGGACTGAGGTGGGAGAATTGCTTGAGCCCAGAAAGTTGAGGCTGAGGCTGCAGTGAGCCAAGATCGCACTCTAGCCTGGGTGACAAAGTGAGACCCTGTCTCAAAAAAAAAAAAAAAAAGTAGTTCCTGTGGTATCCAATAGATGTCCCTGGGCTTTCTTTAAAACATAAAATACCAGCCTGAAATGCTTGCTCACGCCTGTAATCTCAGCACTTTGTGAGACCAGGCCGGAGGATTGCTTGAGCCCAGTAGTTCAAGACCAGTCTGGTCAATGGGGCGAGACCCTGTCTCTACAAAAAATGAAAACATTAGCCAGGCCTGGTGGCACAGGCCTGTGGTCTCAGCTACTTGGGAGGCTGAGGCAGGAGAATCACTTGAGCCTGGGGTGTCAAGGCTGCAGTGAACCATGGTAGTGCCACTGCACTCCACCCTGGGCAACAGAGCGAGACCCTATCTGAAAAAAGCAAAAAAAAGCAAAAAAAAAAGGAAAAAGAAAAGAAAAGATAAAATATCCAGTGAAGCTGGGTATATCTATAGGCCCAGCTACTTGGGAGGCTGAGGCAGGAGGATTGCTTGAGCCCAGGAGTTTGAAGCCAGCCTGGGCAACATAGCAAGACCCTATCTCAAAAAAATGTTTTAATCCAGTGCTGCCTAGTGAGTTTGCTGTGGCACCACAGGTCACCTTGGCACACAATCTGGGGACCAGAGCACTAACAATATTGTTTTAGTCTAGTAGACTATCCCTGGAAGCTCAGATCAAATAGCTTTATGACCATCTCCCCCAAAAAAGAAAAGAAAAATGGGTGCATTAAGTAAAATACTGACTTGAAAGGTTTTAGAGAATAAAAAACGTTAACTAGGATCAAGATAAAGTGGAAATAACTTTGCACAGGATACATCCATAATAGACTTTTGCACTTTCTTTTATGTGTAAGTGGAAGAGAAATGATAGATGCTACAATTAATTTTTAATTGTCTTCCTTACAGATGTCCCTAAACCAATGACTGCTTTAGTAGGGAGATTTTTGCCAGCATCAACAAAATTAAATCTCATTACACAACAAGTGAGTCATTATTTTAATTTTAAAAATACAATTGTGCATTATTGTCTCTTAAAATTTTGATTGTTATGGTTGGAATTACTCAGGAAATATAATTTATTTTCCATTTAGAAGTCAACAGTGAAATACTTTCTAAGTGTTCAGTCCCTGCCCCACTGTGTCAGACACTGTAGCCTGGAGTCAGTCTCGGACACGATTATTCTTCACCAACTTGATGAAGCCCTCTTGCCCTTTCCTGCAGCGTCCAGACCAGCATTCCACCACACTTGCTAACTTGTCCTCTGTGGCCCCACTAGCAGGATATTCCACCTCCTTGGTCCAGAACACCCCTCACCTTCCTCAGTGTTATGGAAATACTTTTTTAAAGTTTGCTTACTTTATATGCATGGTATGCATACCATGATATGCATATATTACATATAAGAGGACAAATACGCTCTTTTTCTCGAGTCTTGCTGTGGAGTGTCACTTCCCCAGAAGAGCATTTCCTAACTCCCCAGCATAGACCTCCAGCCATGGTCACAGTGCTGTCTCTTGCTCTGCACGGCACTCCCACTGGCTTGCATTTTGTGGTTGGTTGGTTTATCTGCATCCACCCATGAGAATGCAGGCTCCATGGAGGCAGAGGCCATGTGTGTCTCGTTCATCTCTGTAAACTGAGAATCAGCACAAAGCCTGGCCCATGTAGGGCACCCACTCACCCTTCAATAAGGACGGTCACTGATCTGTGAGCTAATTGAACCCCAGAAAACAAAACACACAACTCTACCCTCCTGCAGCTTACATTTTAGTGCAGGAGATAGACAATTAGCAAATCTAATAAAGAAGCCAATTACATCATCTGTTAGGAGAGCAGAGGAAGGGGGTTGGGGGGATGGGGATTTGATGGGGAAAAAGGCTAGCTGCAGGTTTAAAAAGGGTGATCATGGCTCCGTTGTGAAGGTGACATTTGAGCAAAGCCTTTAAAGAGATGAGGCAATGAGCCATGTGAAGCAAGCTGTGGAACATCCCAGGCGGGCCTTGGATAGGGTCATGCCTGCTGTGGTCGCAGCAAGGAGGCCACTGGGCCTGGGATAGTGTGAGCTAGGGAAGTAGGGCAGGGAAGAAGTCAAGACATTGGAAGAATTATGGCTTCCACTCTAAAGAGGGGCTGGCGGGGAGGAGGGGTCAAGGAGAAAGGTGAGCCTGTTTTGGCAATAATCTCGGGGAGAGACGATGGCTCAGATCAGGAGGTGGCAGTGGAGGTGGCAAGAAATAGCTTCTGGGGATACTTTGAAGGTTGAGCCAACAGGATTTGCTGATGGATTGGATGTAGGATGTGAGAGAAAGAGAGGAGTCAAAGATGCCCCCAAGATTTTCAGCCTGGTTGATTGGAGAAATGGAGTTTCCACCAACAGAGATGAGATGGTACAAGTTTTTCAAAGGTGTCCAGGAGTTCCATTTGGATATATTAAATTTGGGATGCCTCAGAAGATGTCGTGTAGGAGTTTAGAGTGAGGAAGGGCTAGGCAGGAGGGCTGAGATTGGGAGTCCTAGTATATAGACAGTACTGAAAGCCATGTGCATAGATGAGATCTCAAAGGGAGTGAGTGTAAATTGAGTTAGATATTTGTTGAGTTAGTGAGTAAATACTTCTCAAGTGATATATTGGCCAAGAGAAAAGAGAGTATTATCAGTGCAGGAGGTGAGTGTAAGCCGCGATCTGGCGAGCACCAAGGTGGAGTCTGTGTTGGAACCTCATAGAACCCTCCTACCTGCTGGCCCCCTCCACGCTGCTGGCCTTCCTTTCTCTGCTGTTTCAGCCACCAGTCCAGAAGGCACACACTGCACTTGCTCTTTCACCTCTAAGACCTTGCATAAGAAACATCCGTTTGGCCACAACTTGCTGTCTCCTCACCTTCCCCTAGCTTTCCTTGACTGTTTGTTATCATCCCCATTTTGGCCCCTTATCCAGCATGGACCTCAAGGACAATTCTTTTAGCAATGCATTTGCTGCTCCCCGAGAATCCTTTGCTTCCTTGCCAGACCCCAGTTCTATATATTCTTTGGAGCGTTACCACCCAAAGTGTGGCGCATGGAGTAGAACTGTTGGGATCACCTGGGAGCTTGTTAAGAAGTGCAGAACCTCAGGTTCCACCCCAGACCTGAGATTCAGACCCCCTGGATCAGATCTGCATTTTCACAAGGACCCTGGATGACTTGTGCACACAGCAGAGTCTGAGAAGCCCTTCCTCCGAGTTGACTTCCTTCACTCCAAGAGGACCAAACATTGCTGAAGAAACCTGTGGATTCCAGCATAAAGTTGCCCTGGATTTACAACCTATGGAGTACATAAGAGATTCTCTGCTTTACTTTGAGGCTAAATAAGCAAAGGGGGAAAAATGTAATTTTACCTGGTTTATGCGAATAATTGCCTCAATCCTGAGAACTATGACATCCTTTCTCCAAAAGAATGCAAAACTCTTCAGACTGACATTTGAAGACAGGGGCCTCATAATTAGGTGTCCAGGTGAGGGCAAAAGAGACACCCGTCTCAGGGCCTTGTGAGCACTCCCTTCTGTGTACGAGCAAGAGGAGAGCAGGAAGGGGCTTCCTGGGAAGAAGCCTGGGGACTCAAGACTGATTGTAAATGAGGCCGTGGGACCCAGGGGGCTTTCTCAGTGTCTTCCAGCCCTAATGAATGGTGATGACACACAGTTTAAATCAGGCACAGAATGGAGGAAGTGCAGAGGATAAATACAACATGCATTTTGTTTTCTAAGACTATACTTTTTAAAGTTTTAAAAATAAATTTATTTAAAGATACGTTTCCATTTTTGGAGAGAGGAGGGGACAAGGATATGAGGTTTAACTGTGATATATGCACAAAATCTGAAAACCTAATTGTATCTAGTACTGTTAATTTCTTCAAGCTACTGAGTAGAAGAGAAGTAGGCCAGTGATGGTTTTGCTGCCTGTTACTTTCCCTGTGAACAGCCTCCACAGGCCATGCTAATGAGTAACATAAAGAAAGATGGGACCTGGGAAAGCAAAGAATGTGGACAATGCAGAGATTATGACATTGCTTTTGAATTAGTTAAAACAGGTTACAAAATATTTTTTTTCAATACATGAAAAATCATGGTTGCCAACAAGACTTCAAATGTCAAGATCTCTGTAAGAAACTTTCTAGTTTACGGAAATTTGTCATTAAATGTATTTCACAATTGATAGCCTATAAAAATGAAAAGGAGTTCCATGACAATACCCCTGGCCAGCTGAGTGACAGCTATGGACGGCCTCCAGCCCATGGAGGCCAGCCCTGCATTTTTGCACACTTCTAGGCAGGCCTTGGCACTAGAGTCTGCCCAGTGAAAGTGGATTCCTTGTGGTAATAAGACCCAGACATGATTATAAGGGATGGTGATGTAAACCTTTAGAGAAAAAAAGAATCATTTTTATCTGGGGGCTGGCTGACTGGAACTTTAAAGATCCTTGCTAATTCCAAATATCCTTGCCTTTGACTTTGAACAGCTTGAGGGAGCCTTACCATCGGTAGTCAATGGGTCTGCTTTCCCCTCGGGATCAACTGTTCCAGGACCACCAAAAATAACTTTGGCTGGGTAAGGATTAGAAGCAATATGTTGTCACTCTAATGTAAGAATTTAAGAGACTTTTGGATACATTTATGATTTTCTTCTAAACTATAAAATGAGCTTCACTGCACACCTTCATGACTTCTGAGAAATGTTTTTACTGTCAGCAGTGCCACTAACAGTGTTGCTGTCTGTGTCTGGTTTCGTTGGGGTTGCAAACGCTGCTGGAAAGTCTGGCCCATAGTCTGTATCTGTCCCTGTCCTCCTGTCCACTCTCCTATGTCAGTGTTTCTGAGGCTTGTTGCCATTTATAGCTCTGTCTTCATTCCATGTTGATTCAAACTGTGCTGGCCTCTCTTTTTTGCTGTCGTCCGTGTAAATAATGGCGTGGCAGCCACGTAGCATGAACGGGGAGCTGCAGAGTGCCCTCCAGCCGCCTCTGCCTGCTGCCTTCTGTGCTGAGTTGGCTTGAGCTCTATGGCAGGTGCTAATGCATGATCTGTCTTCACATCTCCAGGTGGACATAGGCTGTGCTTATCTGGGACCTCATCTTACTATTTCTTGCCTTGTCTTGTGTTTCTAATTGTTGCTAATTAAACTAATCAGCTGGTTGAAATTGTCAGGTTAACATTTATGTATTAACAGTGGTTTGGGCAACCCTCTCCGTTCATTGAGCCCTGTAGTTGATTATGGAGATCAGCATATTCCTACCTCCAGGAGGTGTGTGTTTGTTTGTTTGTTTGTTTTCTCTTGTTTTTTGTTGTTGTTGTGGTTGTGGGTTTTTGTTTTTTTTTTTTGAGACAGACTCTTGCTCTGTCACCCAGGCTAGAGTTCAGTGGCATAATCTCCGCTCACAGCAACATCCGCCTCCTGGGTTCAAGCAATTCTCCTGCCTCAGCCTCCCACGTAGCTGGGACCACAGGCGCCCACCACCACACCCGGCTAATTTTTGTATTTTTTAGTAGAGACTGGATTTCACCATGTTGGCCAGGCTGGTCTTGAACTCCTGACCTCAGATGATCCGCCTGCCTCAGCCTCCCAAAGTGCTGGGATTACAGGCGTGCCTGGCCTGCCTGCAGCAGTTCTTTTGGCCCACAGTCTAAGACAAACACATACCCTGGGCCTGAGAGACAGCAGTCAAACACCTTACAGGATATAGCCCGCGGCCTCTAGTGCTTTCTAGGCTCCTGCAGAGTTCTGCCATCGGGCATGGCTTCGTGATGGCCTTGGTAAGTGTGAACAGAGTGGTTTGGGGCTGGAATGAAAGGCTGTAAATCCGGAAACACACTGGAACCGATCAACACTATCAGCTCTCATGGTCACTGAAGGGCGTTGGTTGCTCCCTGGCACTGCTGCTTCAGCTTCTGCAGTGGCTCTTTTAGCTGTTGTAATTCTGTGCCCAGGCTGTTGACAACTTTTGCTGAGTTTGACAGAATAAGACCGTGGGCCCTGCTGCTTGCTTCACTCTCTGAGTGTGATGGATCGGTGAGGGTGCAGTTGCTATCATTGTAATTGGTCATCTCATCACGGCTGTTAACATTTCTGGACCAAACAAAAATGACTTCAGCAACTTCCAGATTCTGCTGATACATTACACAGGATGATCTAAAAGGACACAGTTCTGAAGCTACTCATTTTTCTTGTAATCTGGGGGCATCTGGTCGATAGTATTGACTCACTCTGAGCTGTATTGTATCTAGAACATTCAAGGACATTTGATACTTCTCATACTTTAACTGTGTACTCTCCCAGTTACAGTGCCCTCTGAGGCTTCCATGTGGTGCAGCCGATGGGCATTTGCACAGAGGAGCAGTCATGAGAGAGTTTTCAGGGCAACTATTTCTCCTTTTCCCCCTTTTCATCTCCCCCTGCTCCCCATTCTCCTCCTCCTCCTTCCTCTTCTCGTCCCCTCATCCTCGTCTTTGTTCTCCTCCCCTTGCTCTTCTTCCTCTCTCCTTTTCCTCCTCCTCTGTCTATACTAGATTTTTTTCAATCAGTCACATGTTTTTCTTTATTTTGAAGGTTACAAAAGATTTCTCTATTGTAAATGGTGTGCCAGGAACAACATGAGATGTGTATTTGTTTTTTTTATGCATATAAGTACTTGATCTGATGCCTCTCCACTTAATTGGGTCTGATGATTTTTATCTCGACATCTACAATGCTGACGATATGCTGGAATCTCTACCAATTTATTGTTAGTGGTAAGGAAGCAGTCAGAGAACATTTTGCTGGTTGTTTCATTCTGTGTGAGTTCCCACCCAAGACTCTGTCAGCCCAGTGTGGTTCAGATGTATCTAACCTAGTAGAGGCCATAGAAGCAGTTCAGCTCAGGCTGGAGGCCAGCAGGCTGAGCGTGCGAGCTGACCCAATGGTCATTTGTTAGGGTTGGGGGGTGAACTGGCTAACTTATTAACTAGCTTATCATATTAATAAAAACTCTTTAATACAAATCCGTGTCCTGACATTCTGTAGCTTTAATAATCCCATTATCAATCTGGTAATAAATGTGAATTCTGACACATTGTTGATGCTACTGGTTTTAGTAACATAATGAACATCATAATAGAGAATATTCAAGGGTCTGCTTCTCCGGCAATTTTTTTGCTAAAGATGAGGTTATCATGTTGTGGTGTAGTTTTTTTAGAAGGCTTTTCTGAGGCAGAGTTGTCCAGATCTTTTCTAACTCTTTAATTTTTAGATGGGCACTGACAGAGCAGTCTATCTGGAGCCATGGAAGTGATTTTCCACTTAGTGTCCACTGCAGTCAGAGACCCTCACTGCCCTGCACTCCGTGCTCATTCCTGATGAGTGTCTTTGCTGATGCTGTTATTTAAACTGGGCCGTCCTGTTAAGCAATAGTGAAGAAACCTTGCCGCCTTAAAAGCTGATGTCAAGTTCCACCTCCTTCAAGAGCATTTGGTTTTCACTTCTTCCGTCTATGCTGAACTGTGCTGCCTCTGAGTTTCTGCAGTGTTTACAGTCGGTATAGCACAGTGTGCTGGTTGATTATTCTGAGTTTCTGTGGCGTTTACAGTTAGTATTGCACAGTGTGCTGGTGGATTATTCTCTTATGTGCTGTAATGTTTCCATTGCCTATGTCTCGTATCCCTGCTGACTTGGTGGATTCCTCCAGGACAGACACCATGTGTTAAATAGATAGTTATCCTTGGTGTCCCCGGAAGCACTGACCATGGTCCTGGCCACGCAATGATTTCTAGTAAATGCCTGCTGGCCTCCTCCTGCCTCTGTAGATACTCGTGGGCCTGTCACCCTCCCTCCACAGTTACAGTGGTTCCCCACTGGACTGCCTCCACAAGCCCCCACGCCACTTCCTCAAGGGAACAGTTTTTGTTCCTCTGGACAGGGAGGGCCGGTCCACCCTGTGCCCCAGCTCAGGGCAGGTCTGAGAGGGCCAAGGACAAGAGCAGTGAAGTAGCTGTCAGAGCCCCCTCTGAACAGGCCCAGGTCTGACCCACAGGTGAACAGGCCAGGTGGCAGGATGGCTAGACCTGCCACCTCTAGGCACCCATGAGGGCGGAAAGCTGTAACTCTCCTATCTCTAAAGGAAAAACCAAACTAGATGAATTCTCAATTAATACAGAATTCAGCAACATCGTCTTTATCTCTAAAATGGTAGCTTTCTCTAGAAGAAGTCAAAGTTAGCAGCTTGCCCCAGTTTCATGTGCCATGAGCTGTTTCCCATGGGGAGCAGGATGGGTCACTAAACAGAGGCACAGGTGGTGAGCGCAGGGGCGGCAGACCAGTCAGTCATGCACACCAGAGCAGTGAGGTGAGGGCAGGCCAAGTGAGGGGGATTTGGGGCTGACCTCAGCTCTGACAGCCAGTCAAGAGAGCTGAGCGTGCGGGCGCTCGGAGCACAGAGGACAGGGCAAAGACTTTGCCTCTCTTTAGGGCGTTTGTATTAGTTACCAACCCCTATGCTCCATGAGATGGCATGAGGCTGACAGCAAGCACGGACTGTGTGCCAGGTGCTGTTCGAGCTCTGGTAGGAAACCCAAGACTAAGATGCAGCCTTGCTCAGAAGTGGCCAGTGCGTCGCAGAGATGAGACCTGTGTACATGACTTCAAAGAGCACACTGATACAGATGCACGCCCACACTGGGTACAGGGACAGCCCTGTCACAGAATTCTAAATTAAATGCTGTATTTGTTTAGAATTCATCTAGTTTGGTTTTTGTCACATGGTGTTTTGTACACGTTCCCCTCCTTGTCACCACAGCCTATTGAACCACTTCCGTTGCAAATGTTCTGAGCTCCTTGGTGAGTGTCTCTTCTGAGCAATGCTTGGGAACTTCTCCTGATGGTTTACGGTGCAGCTGCCCTCACGTTCAGCAACACCCAGAGACACATTAGAGGAGGAGTTTGTTTCTTCTCTAATGCCCCTGAAGATGACTTCTGAGCTAATCACAAAATGTAATTAGGAAGGAGTTGTAATAATCCCTTCCTAAAATGAGGAAAGTCCCCAGTGATCACATGGCACACTTAAGTGATTACTAACATGCTTTGATATTGTTAGTAATATTACAGCGTGGACTGCTTTAGCACTGGTATATCTGAAGACGAACGACGCTTTATCTATTGTTCTTTAATTTGTACTTCCTATTAGCATTCAGATTTTTTTTGGGGAAAGAGCTGTTCGGTGGGGAGAGGAGCACAAAAAAAAAAAAAAATAGAGGTTTAAACAGGTCAGGGGAGAAGAACTCCAGGAAGACATCTTGGGAAGGGTGAAGAGCCTTAGGACCCCGCTCCGCACACACACTGACTCCCTGGAAGACATCTTGGGAAGGGAGAGCAGCCTTAGGACCCTGCTCTGCACACACCACTGACTTCCTGGAAGACATCTTGGGAAGGGAGAGCAGCCTTAGGACACCGCTACACACACACACTGACTCCCTGGGCATGTGTGGCTGCGTTTGGTGGCGCTAGTTGCATCACATTGGAAACTCCCACTTCATGATTAGGCATCTATCAATAATACCTATAACTATCTGGTGTTGAGATTC